CTGAGAAATCAGTTGCTGTCCCTCAAATAATGCTCACAACATCCTGCAGCAAGGACTTCTCCAGCTCAGGTACACGACGTTCTCACCTAGCATGGACATTTCCTTAAGCCAAGATAAATCAGATCATAAATGACCTATTTCTTTCCATCGATTACAAAGGAATTGTGGTTGGCTAGCTTGAACACAGACTTGCTCAAACAGATTTCATCGAGGAGACCTAAGGAGACAGCGATGGCATCCATTTACTGTCTTGGAAGGAGAAGACCCCTTCAAATACCTTTTGTCATGCATCACTTATGTGTGTTACAAAATAAACCACATGGGCTTTTCTACAGTCTCCAACCATACGCTTAATGGATAACAAATTAAGGTTACACAAGCAACTCTGTTTCTTCCTTTTTCTAACCTTCGAGTCCTGGCCACACTATGATAATGTTCTTACAACTGATATATAAAGCCATTGCAAATCCACTGATTCCTCATATATTCAAGGAGAAAACTATTATGGAGAGAGCAACGATCGTGGAGGATAGGACAATGGGGCATACACTTGTACAATATTTTGCTGGACCTCAGAGGAGTATCAGGAATTGTGGATCTTACTGTTGCCCTCAAAGAGGAGAATGGTTTAGTGGTCACAAACAACAACACCAACAACAAAGATTTGAACCACTTTTTCTGAAGGCTGCACAACTAAGCAGGTGACATATGGGTCTGCTGTACTGGTTTCTTCTGTCCACAGAAGGGACTATAAGCAAGAAACAATATAAGAAAGCCAACACAAAAGTTTCCATCCTTTGGTTCAGGCTTTCACTGTATACAATCCAAAACCAAACACAATGGACCTTAACAAATTTTCAGGCAACGGTACTGTTCTTAAGGGAAGTGGCAACAGGCTTGCTGGCCGTATCCACTGCTTCCCAACTGCAGATGGAAAGGATCCAACCCTTTTATGAGAGCTACTCCAAAGCTTTGAACGTGGTAAATTTCAGGCATTATCCTATAAATCAACAGCTAACTCAAAATGAAAGTCCCTACTGATAAAAGCTACAGCATTAGCAAGACTTAAGAGAAGTACTATAATGCACAGACATATCTGCCCATAGGCACAAGAGAAAATACCACCTATAGGACTTAGGAGCAAGAATCTCACTGTACTTTAATAACCACCAAGTTCCCAGATCTGTAAGAGCTATTTATGCACCTCAATCCCTTTGGCAATGTTGTCTTTAAGGTGTTTTTAAAATCTCATCCCAAATTACAAAGTATCTATGTATTTCCAGCTCATTTTCACTTCCAACTACTTCAATTCTGTTCTTGCCTGATCTATAACTTATGTTAAAACATATGGCAGCGTATTTGCTAAAATTCCCTCAAAAAGTGCATTCCCTAAATCAATTCTAAACAGCTTCAGATTTGAGATCAGGAAGGGGGTGGAGGGGAGAACCTAATAGTGCTTTGTTGTCCTTCTGTTGGGTTTGGGGGTTTTTTTCTTCTTGTTTTTCCCCTATGAAGCTAACTGAAGCAGCCATAAGTTATTTAGAGTTAGTTTATGAAGTGAAAATTCTATAAATTTTAGTGGAAAGGCAATTTAATCTTAGTTCCAGATATTGAAATGCTCAATATACATTAAAAAAAAAACAACCCTTCATAAAGGTTATTATTAAATACTTTGGAGAAAGATTTAGGAAAAATACTGCACGTGCATTCGGTAGGAATCCCCAGTAGTTGTCTCATTTACCTCATTACACACATGCACGCACACACACAGAGTGTTAATTGCACTCCAAAAGAAAACTGCAGGCACAGACTGCAAGAAATTATGTGGGTCCTTCCCCTGGTTCCCTCCTCCCAATGGACGCCTACTATTCTTCTAAAAATTCCCCACAGGAAAAGAGAGCGCTAATTGTAGCTATCACAAAGTGTTTTTCCATCGTCACAGAAATTTAATTCCTAAATTTGAGTCAATGCACACGCAGAGGCAGAGACCAAGTAGAGGTAGGAGTGACGATGGATCCATGTAGCAATTCATTGTAGCAGGAAAAATTTAAATACACATCAAGAGCATAATCCCATAATTGGCAGATCCACTTCAAAATCTTGAAAAGCTTATTTTCAGCCTCTTAAAGCTAACTGATGCAACACCTTCCTGTGAGAACACCGTGTAGCCCAGACACTTGTCTCCAGTACCACCGAGTTACCACAAAACGCATTAGTTCCCACTTCAGAGCTTATTCTCTTACATTTTTCCAGGAACAATGTGGGACTTCTTTTTGTCCTCAGAAGTAATAAGGTGCTTAGCTCAAATCTCAGTACCTGTTAAGACTTGGGAGTTTGTGCTTTCTTGGGCCAATCAAAGCTGCACAAGATGCCAGGCAAATGGGTAGAACAGAGAACATGCTCATGCCACGGTATCAGTTAATGGTATAACCTCATCTGCAATATCAAAGGCAAGGCCACATCTCAGAAAGATCAAAGAAAATAGTAAGAACAATCAGGACCTTGAAAAATCTCTCACAGAACTGACTTAAAAAAAAAAACTTGCGGAACTGTCACATGGCAGAGTCGTTAATTCAGAGAAAACTGGACAAAGAATGATAAGCCCAGAGAGAGGGCGTCTGTTCTCCTCAACTCAAGTCCTGAAAGAAATCGGTGTTAGCTGATCACCACTCATAATAAATCTTCTATTTAGGAGCTAGCACTAGGCTCCAAAAGCAAGCCTGGGAGCAAACAGTAATGCGCTAGCACCGACAGCGATTGATTTGAGAACAGGTTGTGGGACTGCAGTTGCACTGGCAATACCAACACAAGAGGCTGTCCACAGGTAGAGGACAGATCTTCATCCCACCTCCCAGGCTTGTTCTCCAGCATCAAACACTCTCAGGAATGAAGAAAGAAATGGTTAACGCATTAATTCCTTTAGGAGAGATAAAGTCAACCTGTACTAGTAGAAACTACCCCTTTCTCCCTGTACCCTAATACAAGCAGAACCATGGGAATGCATTTTCTCTAGGTCTGCTTACCACTGACAAGCAGTCACTCAAGCGTAAAGGCAAGAACTGGCTTTATGCCTACACACAACTGCATCGCAGCCACTCACACCACCTCTGCAAGAACAAGCTTTTGGTGAAGTACCGCAGGCTTATGCTGAATTCAGGCCCCACAGAACTGATGCAGGTTAAGAGCAAGAAGTGTTTTGCCAGCAGAGGCACGTGGTCACGCTTGGCCTGCAGTGCCTTTATTCTAAATAAGTAATTCTCTGCTTTACCATCTCTCCTTAAACACTGTTCTAAAATGAAAGGGGAGCAGCATTTGTTCCAACCATGGCAGAACTTTAGTTTGCTTAGAAATAAAAAAAAAAGAAGAGGAGGGCAGGCTGTGAAGAAATCACTCTGCAAATTACAGGAACTGTGGTACAGCAAGGAACTATGGGCTTCTAATGGCCTCCAGTAAACAATACATATGCTTCTTCTGCCTGAAAAATCTATCATGCAGCTAAGCGAACGTTCCTCTGCAGACATTGTTTTTGATTGCTAGTGGGTACAGAGGCCCTGTTGGATTGGGAACCAGACAAGTCCAGGAGCGCTGGAATCCCTGCCCAGACAGCTTACAGTTCACACAGATAAGGTGACAAAGGGGAACTGGGAAAGAAAGACAACCTTGATTCCAGAAAAGAAACATTGCTTCGTTCTCTGCTTCTAAAGGTAATCCCCAAGTGTCACTAAAACTGTGAAAAGGCAGTTGAGTTGTGCATCAAAACTGGAAAAAGAAACCCACTTACACAAACTTCAGTAAAAAAATTAAATAAAAAATAACATAAGTTTGTGTATTTTTTTTTAAATAATATTATACAAACACTTACAGCTGTAGCAGTATTTGAATCACTTAGCCTCAGCCCAAAAACTATGTTTTCTGTACGTTGGAGTAACTGAACACCACAACTTCACAGAGGAAAAAACTTCAGACACATTACAAACTTCCTTTACCCAGGCATGTTATGAAGATTACTTTTTGTATCCATAGGCAAATGGTGTAAACTATCATTAGATTACACATAAACTGCTGATTAATTTTCAAATCTTAGTTTAATATTGGATAATAAGCTGCCTTTAGAAAGAAACATTCATGTTCTTGCCACTTATGAACAGGTAGACTTTCCGTTACTAATATGGACTACTGAGACAACATGGGACAAAAAAATTGTCATGGCTGTCAAAGGAATTAGTTTTGCATTTAGAGGTTTTTAGTTGATTTTACTGTGTTTAGATTTTACAAAGATGCTCAAGAACAGCTGAGAAATGCTAAAAGTCATTACTAGAATGTACCAATACCAACAGTTTTTTATTCAGGGACTTTTTTTTAAAGCAAAGGTATATTAGCAAATACCTTGGTTTCATAAGAGACATACAGCTTTCAAAAATCCTGTGACCCTGAGCTAGAACTTTGAATTTATAATTAACTAATCTAATAACACACTTAAAAGAGCCTTGTTTGGACCTTTTTACGTCAGAGCAATTTATTGTGACAGAAGATTATTTTTATCGGCTTGGAGATAGCAATCTTCCTCTGAAAGAAGATACTTCCAAGGACTCGGTGTTTACAAACAAGCTGGAGTTTTCAAGAGAGAACATCTCTTATATATACAGACAACAGAAAAAAACAGGATATACAACTGACAGGTTGAGGATTTCACTTACTTAAAGCACTTAAAAGAAAATGGAGTTCCTTTGAAAATTCATCTCCAAGTGTGGGTTGCAGAGTCAGCTTTTTGAAGATTAAACAACTTTATAAAGAAGGAAATAATATGGTAGAGATTAAACTCCAATTTCACCTGTCTGACTTTGGGTCCTTTCATGCACTGGCTACATAAAATTTGGCATTTACCTGAAAGCTGACATCATTTTACCATATCCAAGCTCACAGGAGCAAGAAATGTCCTCTGAAGGAGGCCACTATACATACATATGTGTATATATATTTCTTAGACAGAACATACATACCCTTAAATCTGGAGAGAAGTTGTCTGCTGAGGTGGAGATTGAGTCGGACGATATAGCAGAAGCAGATTTAGTGTGAGCAGAATGGTCCGAGTGAGAAGTGGAAGCGCTATAAAGAGAAACACCACAGTGTATCAAAACCATGCTCAAGAATGCTCAAAAGCCAGCAAGTACGGCCACTCACTTACAGTCATATCAGGCATTTTTCACTATTTCCAGCCTTTCCATTCTCAGTTATTCAGCCCTCAGCAGTGGTTTAAGAGAACCTGTTTTACTCGCCGTTGCCACGGATTACCAAAGCACACACAATTCATTACCAAATTCCAGCTCAGACTGAGCCAATGTTATCACAATCACACACTTGATCAAATCCTAAATCACAGAAACTAAGGGCCTCCATTTCAGGCTTTCAGATGGGAGATATTAGTGCGCTGCAAGGGGATGAAAACAGACAGACTCCTGAACGCATGCCAGCACAACTCCAACCGCAGCTTTACAACGATGGAAGAAACTCAGAATAAAAACTCTTTCCATCACACGTAACTTTCCTCCTTCAGGTATAAGTACAACCCTCAGGAGAATTAAAAAGACTCTCAGCATACCTCTCTGGTGATACAAAGTGCGATTGCTAAATAGCAAAGCAAAACAGTTATTTTCTTTTTCTCTACAGTTTTTCTAGTACAGCTGTAAGCAATTAAAATAAGCTTATTTTACGGCATCTTTATGCTGCGACCTCTCCTACGACCATAATTGCTTAAAATTAGCATTCGATAATAATGCTCTTAAAACCCCAGATGACTGTAAAGAAAGATCCTCTGTGGTACAATGATACTCCCTGAAGCCACGGTACAGCAGCGAACACTACCTGTGCCAATTAATTCCCACATTCTTACTGACCCCAGAAAGGTTTTACCTGGCTGCAAAGACACTCTTAAGGATCAGCTATCAGGCTTGCAAGTCTAGCCTTGGCCGAAGCAGAATACCAGCAGGAATATCACCATTACTATTTGTATTAATTAGACATGTGACAACCTAGAAACAGCTGTATCTGAGCTTCCAAAGGGCCTGGAGATCTGTTAATTGTCTAAAAATTGTTTTGCTGCTGGTAAGCAGCCACCGAAAGGCCAAAATGTTCCATTTTTATTTCTATTCTTTGGAGTTTGGCAAAGCATTGCATAGGCAGTGTTAAAAACATGAAGGACTACAGCAAAATTGGGCTCTTGCTGGGAGTTAGCCCCTTCTCTCCAAGGATTAAAGATTATTGGCAACTCTTTCGTCCTACAAAGTAGAAAGTTAGAAATGGAACCTTTGGGAAAAAATTATTTAAAATAAATTATACTGGTGTGCTAATCAAATAGCACAATTCCACTGAATGCATTTGCTGTAGGCAGTTCAACAGCTGATCGCTCAGCTTTCCTACTTGCTCAACTCTCGCTGTGTTGCCAGGTAAACTCACATAAGTTCGGATGGACAGTGGCACTTGTGCACACAACGCTGCTCACACTGCAGCAGCCCCAAAGTCTCTGTCCCCGGCCGAAAATAATCTTACACTAAAATAACAAGAACTGAATCTGCAAAGCCTCCCATTCTTACGGATCAAACGGCCTCACACATACACTGAATTTGTGTACAGTTTCACATTACAACAAAATTGATACCAAAGTGTCCGCTGCTGCTGAACAGGCTGCTCACTTTCCGCTCTCTTCCTCCTCCTCTCAACCTGGGCTGCACACCACTGCCATCTCCGTTGTGCTGGATGAGCATCACAGGATGCATGGTTCAATTTGCTGATCTGCCAGGGCAGTAAACTATTAATAAATATGAAGAGAGTCTTCTGTTGGATAACAGGGCTGATTGGATTCATTATATGGCTGTATAAATCATGAGATGCAGCACACGGAGAGGGAGGGAATCTGTATCTGGAGATGATGAGGAAGGCTGAGAGCACTTCTGCGACAGCAGCCTGCAGGCATGCTAAATCAGGCTTAGCATTAAACCACTTTTTTACATTACTTTACTTAAACGAGCTCAGACCCCTGGATGTGTTCCCTTGAAACTCCTTTCAGCCCGGTTTCTGCATGGTCAGCCTTCATCTTCCAAGTGTTCATGCTCATGTTTGCAACTGTTTAATTAATTTGATTTTTTAAAAGCGGGGGGAGGGAGGGGAAAAAAAAAGTCACACTGAATTTAACTGTTCCACAAAGCAGCACCAGTTTACTTCACAGCAAGCCATAAGGAAATGGTACTTTTTATCAGCGAAGAGCAAGCAAATACTGAGATGCCTTTATCACTGGGCGACAACCCTGACTGACTTCTGTCCCTGGGTCCCCACCACGCTTTCTCCCACGCCAGCTCCAGCCGGGGGAGCCAGAGGCTCAGAGTAAGCCTCCAGAAGCCATGTCTTCTAGCTCCCTCCCCTTTCAAGGGCCCAGAATTTTGTGTATTTAAACGCATTTTAAAGGTCAGCAGCTCTGCTGCGTTTAGAAGTCATTTAGCACAGGTGTAAATAACTAAGCAAGGGGCACACCAGCAGCTAACCTGGCACATGGGCACCACACAGGACAGCCTACTCACTGAACAACCACCGCTAAATCACTGAGCACAGTAACCTATTAGCAGAAGCATTTGCATCAAGAATTTCACATCCTTTAGTCACAGAAAAGGGAGCTGGAAAGGCTGGAAAGGTTTAATGGAGTGTGCTAGTCTCTCTGCCTCCAAGCTAGGACAAGCTACACCCAAACAACTCCTGAGAGCTGTCTGTCTAACCTGCTCTTAACGGCTCCCAGGGAGGGACAGTGCTAACAAAAGGATCAAAATTTCACCCGTTTTTCTGCTTACACAACTTGTCTGCCTTGGTACATTCCCAGTGTCTACCTAATACACAAGGAGTGATTATCTAATCATTGTAGACCAAAGATTTTTGTGAAATTGTTAATTTCACTTGAGCAGGCTAAGGGGCAAACTGCTTTATGCAGGAAAAAAAAGAGAACCATAATCCACAGCATGTCTGAGCTGTGAAAGTGTTTCGTGTTTGTTGATCACACTTGGCTTCAAGTGGGTTTTAATGAAGGAAAGCATTTGCATTTTAGAAGTGAATTTTCAAAAGCTCCCTCCTCCACCAGCGTCCTTCTGCTCCCGCAGAAACCACCGGTGAAGCCTCCCTCCAGCGACAGCAGTGCAAGCTTTTGGGAAGCACTGCCTGCACACACAGCGAACAATACCGCTTGGATTATGCTGCTCTGCACAGCATGCATAGGTTGCATATGTTTGGCTCGCTGCCTCTGTTCTCCTCATCCATCATTTATAGGGAGCTGGGATGGAACGAAGGAGCAGACAACCGAAACGCTGTTGGCTTGCAGCTCCCTCCTCTTATCGCTGTCAGGCAGTTGCACAGCTCCAGCTCCGCTGCTTAGCGAACTAATTAACCTGATGTCCCTGCATGCACATGAGAAGTTTATTAGCTTCAGTGGTTTAGTCAATCTCTGATGCCAATGCAAAAGAAAAGATCCTCAAACCACGCAGTTTCATACGCCTTTGGGTGGGTGAGAGCAGGAGAGCGTCCTGGGGCCGACATGCAAACTTGGAGTGAGGAGACCAGAGCTCCCTCCACACTTTGCCACCAGCCCTTCTGCATCACCTTGGGCAAATCATTTACTCCTGCTTCTGTCACAGCTTCTGCACATTATCGCAGCTTTTGCCAACGTAAAGCTAAAGCTGTCTTGCACAATACTTTTGGCAGCATGACGGGGTATTTCTGGTATCAGTCTAAAATGCTGAGGACCCCACCAAAGATGCTCTCTTCTCACAGGGACATACCCCAATGTCACCAGTAAGACCACAGAGAGCAAACCTTAGGGATGGCACGGGCACGACGGTCAGATATAACTCCTGGGTTCAGGGGTATCTGACAAACACTTGAGAGCACAGGTAGGTTTGGGCAGATTTCAGCAAGGGTTACAAATCACTGCAGCTGTGCCAATCACTGCTAGCTGAAGGTCTGGTTCAATACAACTTAATAAACGTGCAAAATAATGATATTATCTCTGAACATCATTAAGGTTCTAGGAAACAACATATAGTCAGGTTCACAAAATACTTTGAGCTCTTCCTACAGGAAAGAAAGCCAGTGCAGATGTTCCTGTGAGGAACCTGTGAAGACCAAGGACCTCCTGGAACATTTATCTTCCCATGCTTCAGGCTCAAGCAGCTCCACACAGTCCTTGCTGACGGATGTCTGTGTTAAGTGCAAAAAGAGACCCCTACGAAAGCTCAAAAGCACCTTCAGGGAAAGCACCTTACTCCTGTTACTGCCATCCCTGTTTCTCCTCTCCTTCCTCCCTCCCCATCCAGAAGCAGGAAACAGGTTTAGGATGCAATTAACACTGATCTATGTCTTTCATCTTAGTAATTATTTTTATTATTTAAATGTGTTTCTTCTGGCCAGATTTTGAATGATAAATGAGTCCAAATGAGAGCTGTCGGCACAATGATCTTGCACAGTATCTGCACGCAGTATTAACCCCTTGGCTATATGGAATACATATATGCAACTAATAAGAGAATTACAATGGAAACGAAGCACAATGACTCAACTCCTGATAAAGTATTCTTTGTTATTATTAGGACTATCCCACAACATGCCAGATGGTTTTCAAACATAATTCAGACTCAGACAGATGCCCTCCGGTGATTCTTGTTCAGGCAATTGAAAGGTATTACTGCATCCGTAGCAGAACTGAAGGTATGCCTGTGTGCTTAGCTTAAACTGTCAACAAAGATGTAAAGAAGCTGCAAACAGAAGTGTCTGAGACACGCAAACTTACCCTGTTAAAGTATGAAGGTACAGGGGACATATCTTGGGGGAAAGACGTGATAAAGTGTTAGCCACTTCAAAAAGTGCCGTTAAATGGCATCTGCCAAAGTCATCCAAGGCAATCTCTACCCCCAGACCCCTGCAATCTAAAAAACACGGTGTATAAGAAAGCCAAGGAAAAGAAATAAAAACTTGCAGTTGCCATTTGTTTCACCAACTGTTACCAAAAGAGTTTGAATATGAAGTTATTGCTTTCCTAGA